CAGTCTTCATTGATGGTATTGTCATTATCTGCCACTAAATATAATCATTTGGCAGGGGGTCATTATCTCTCTCTCTCATTTACTATTAATAAAACAAAACAAAACTTACTGAAGAACAAAGATTTCAGCTTTTAGTATGGATTACACCTCAAAAGTAAAAAAAAAAATTCTCACAACTGGACCAATAAGCAATGTAATGATAAACTGAAAAATGAAATTGTCAAATATTTCCCTTTACTTAGAGCCACTGCCAGTATCCATGGAAACAGCAGTTACTAATTCAAAAGACTTACTGCATTTGGCAAATGTGCTGCAAAAGCCTTTTAAAGTACTAAAGATAAAGGATGTCACTTTGACAACGAAGGTGCAGCTGACCTAAACCATGCTTGATATTTCCAGTCACCTCTCATGTGGGCAAAAAAATTTGACAGTGAATAGGAAAGTCAATGAATTGATGTGAACAAATGAATTGAGAAGAATTGTGTTGGTGAAGAATATTAAAAGATCAAACAGCTTTTTTTGAGAAATGCAACCAAAATGCTTTGGCCATGTTATTAAGAGGGACCAATTCCAAGAAAAGACTTAAAGTTTCTGAGTCAGTGAAAGAAAGGAAGACTTAGAAAATAGAATGCCTTGATGGATACAATAATGGGCAATGATTGTGAGGATGGTGCAGGATCTGGGAGGGGTTTGTACTGTTGTATAGAGTCGTTATAAGTACGAACTGGCCCAGCTGCAACAGTTGATGCTTAATGCAGGTAGTAACTAACAGAGTGGGGTTCTTTTCGAGAACTCCCTTATTAAGGATTCTGAGGTATGTCACATACCTCTTTTCATTACGACTGTGTTTTATTAGTATCTTTATAAACCCAATCTTCAAGAACTGGAAATATTAAATACAAACTTACCGATATATTTTAATACATAAATCATAAAAGTGTATTTCAGTAGTGAAAAAAGAGTTGGACAACAGTGGCATTTTGTTAATTCTATTTGTTAAAGGTTATATACCCTCTGGATTATCCCTGGGAATGAGGATGAAGTTTCCGGTAAATTAGTGAAAGTTTTTTATATGGTCTTTTTTGTTTTTTTCTTCATGTATTTCAAGATCTCTGACTTCTTCCCAAATTTATCTTACTGACTTTTTGTACAACTGAAGCCCCCGATTCAATCAGCTAATTGTTTCACTGATAGATTTTTTTTTTCACTGATAGATTTAACACCTTTTCTTCACCTTTCTCATTTTCCCTTCATTTCTTTCCTCTTCCAAATTCATCCTTGATCTGTCAGTTCTTTGTGATCTATGAGCTTTTTCACATAACTAGTAGAAATATACGTGCTGCAATAAAAAGTGCATGTAACTAATGATAAGATGTAAAACATCTTATGCCCGCCCGCCCGCCCAAAATAGCAAATCTAAAACAGAAGAACAGGAGATTATAGAGGAGGTGGTGATTTTGGGTTTTTAAGTCATATTTTCTAGAAAGCCAAAAGATTTATCTCCCTAAACAATGCTTATCTTCTTTAACTCTGCTACTGCTTTAGTCGAAACAGTTACTGTTTTAGTGGACTTTCTCTCAGTACTCTTTGTTTTGAACTCACAGGTTGCATGATACTTCCCTGCTATAAAGTTCTCCGCACAAATGCTTAGGCCTTGGAGTCAAGATTCATCTTCGACTACATTCCTTTTGCCTTAACATCCATTCCAGTGATAGATCACTCAGCTCAGCATTCCTGAATTGCTGTTTTGTTTTATACCTACTTGCCCTTCCCAGAGACCATTTTCCCTAAATTTACTCTTCTTCCTTCAAAATCTAGTTGACTGTAATATCTTCATTGTGCTTCCTTTGTACTCTCCCTTCATAGTAGTTCAAGCCTTTGTAAACCACTGTTTTTCCACATCTCTTTTCTAACGATTTTCACAATTTTGTAAATGTGTTTCAGTACCTCTCATTACTGCAAACTTGGACTGTGCCTTTTTTAACTTTGGAACTATTCCCAAAGTACTAAATACGAATGCAATCTAGTAAATGTTTAGCTCAGGCAGCTTTCCCCCCCCTATATTATTTTTTAGCATTTTTGAGAAAAATTTTCACACATAGAACACTAGGTATTTTCCTGTGATTTCCTAATCTGATGATGACTGCCTTAGGTTTTCTAAGTGGAAGTGATTGAGAACTGGTTACCTTTACTTCTGGTTTTTATCAGTCTCTTCTGTTTTCCCTTTTTGTTCTTTGGTTTTATGTACTTGAATATATTCTTAAACTCAAAATTATATTTGAAAAATCAGTGTTTAAATATTTCGATGATTTTGGCTTTCAAATATTGGAAAGAAAAATGTGACTTAGGTGAAATAAACATAGACCTTTTTTTGCCTTTCCGTTCTCCCACACACTGTGTTTATAATGTGAATGAAACTTCAAAAGAACAGGCTAATGTAATAGGATCAGAGTATTCATTTGTATGGTTGCCCTTCGATGAGGTCTTGTGATCTTCAAGAAACTAGAAGTAGATCATTTAGTACATTTTAAGCATTAAAGGAAAAGGATTGACTTACATCAAAAGGATCTATTTCATAAAAATTTCTGTTAAAAAATTACTAATTTGCAAGCATGATCACTAAATACTTGTTAAAATAGGTCACGACTCCTGTTATCTTTTCAATGAAATATTAAACAGGATTTTTTTAAAATGATACACTTTTTCTATAAAAAGAAATATTCATCAGCAAAACAGTGTAATTACTTAAAGGAGATTATTAGCTCAGAACTTTGAGCTTAGTAGATTTCACTATCTTCTACCAAACAGTTAAATTTCTTAAATGATGACTATTTCAGCAGCTATTTAATTAGTAAAAATTACAGGTAAGAATTTTTTTGTTCTCCAACTTTTAACGATGCACTAGTTTTATGAAGAAAATGTTAATCTTAAGATACACTTTGAAAGCTATAAATAGTGTGCATTTTAGAGATAAATTTATAATTTGGTGGCATTTTAGATGTGATTTTCTAAATTTTATACTGTCTCCAGTGAATACTATGCTTTCTAAATATCTACTGTATTTTCTAAATATCTTGTTGCTGTATTATACGTTCATTTTTTAAAGGGAGTGAATATTATGTTTAAAGCCATATAAGAAGATTGGAATTATTTTTATTGGACTTATTGTTCTTAATGCTAGTAACTATTCACTTACCAATATCTTAGCTAGTAAAATGAAGAATAATACCTGGTACAAACATCTTTGTGAGGATGATGTTCTTGTTGTCATGTACCAAGTCAGAACCAACTGGTAGCTGACCCTCAAATGGGTCTTCAAAGGTAGTAAACATTACAGGAGAAGAGTGCTCATCCTCCTCCTGTAGAGCAGCTGGATTTGAACCGCAGGCCTTCAGTTTGATAGCACAGCTCCTTAACAGTAAGGCCACCCAGAGTGTTAATGAAAATTTTAGCTCCATTAATTGACAGCACAGCATGCTTAATGGCTTTTATTTTTTTTTCTGTATAAAATGAATTAGAGTAACAATATGTGAATATAGTTAGACTGGTAATATTTCTGTTGTAATATAATGTAAGTGAACTGAAAGGAAAAAATTACATTTTACAAATTTTTTTGTGGTATAGTTAACTTAGTTTTTCCATTTGAGTAAAAAATTATTAAATGCTTAAAAAGCATTGTCATATACAGATTTATGTCTAAGTTCCATTAGCCTAATGTCTACTTTTATCCAAACTAATTTTCACACATTTTACTATTATTATTAAAACTCTTATTTTTCTCTTTTTAAAGCAATTAAGTTGCACTATATGCTTGATGCCTTCTTATTTTTCATTATTAGTATTATAAATTCTATAATCAAATATAAATTATATAATAAAATATATATTCAATATAAATTGCTTTTGTTGTTGTTTGCCATCGAGTTAAGCACAACTCATAGTTACCCTATGAATAAAAGACCTGAAGCCTTTCTTTAACTATCAACATTTATCGAAGTTTATAGCGTTTCAAGAAGCATATTATTTAGGAAGTGGATGTCACTCCTGCTATATATAAATTATAAATTAAAAAAATTATAAATCAGTATTATAAATTTATATATGATATATACATATATATTAATAGTATGATAAATACTATCATCATTGTAAGGAACTCTGGTGGCTTAGGGGTAAGGAATTGCACTACCAGTGCAAAGGTACGTGTTTCAAATCCATCAGCTGCTCCTCAAGAGAAAGATGAATAGTCCCATGTCGTGCAGTTAACTACCTGTGAGGACTGAGGGTCAGCTATGAGTTGGTTCTGCCTCAGTGGTAGACAACAGCAGAATGGGAGCTCTGGTGGCCTGGTCCTTGGGGAGTTGTGCTGTTAACACAAAAGTGGCATCTCTCTGGCAGTTTGAATACACCAGCAATTTGGGAGGAAAAATGTGCAGTCTCTTCCCATGCAATTTACAGCTTCCAAAATCCAACTGGAGGTCAGCTATGAATCAGTTCCTAAACAATGGCAATGAGAGAGAGAGTGTCCCAAAATGGTTGATACCTATGTGACTTTTTTCCCCCCAGATATTTTTGCAAGTTAATTCATTTTGATAATTTAGGATATATCTTACTCTTTTAAGTCCTGTAATAGTAAATATTGATTGTATAAATAGTCCATAACTTTATTTTTTTAAAGTTATGTATTCTTTTTCTACAACTTTTACTAATATACTATTTCAAATTGTTTTACTAATGTCTTATTTTAAACTAAAAAAGAAACATTTCTTTTGTGCTCTTGTTTAGAAAAAAATGAGTATTTTAAATATGTATTTATTTCTTTAGTATATTTATTGGTTCTACTGTTTATTCTCACAGTTTCTTTTACCTTAAAATATTTGCAGAGGTCAGACTATCTCAGAATAAAATACATAAAAGATTTATATTTTCATTATTTTAAGCATACAAAAAAGAATTGTTTCATTTTATATTGTTTAAATATATTCTGTTTTGTTTTCAAGATTAAAAAATGAAGCTCCTACAGAGGAACAAGAAACTGTGTCAGAGGTACGTTTTTATTTCATACCCTAAAGGTTTTTGCATTTGAAATTATTTTTAGGTATATTGTTTCCAACATTTTAGTTTGAATAAGCATGCATTAATAAATATCAGCATGTTACAGGGAAAGAAAAATTTGGTTTTATTTTCATTACATATACAATGTCTATACCTAGTAAAATTAAAAGATAACTTTGTTTTTGTTTGACTGCTCAACTAGTTAATTATTGACATCATAAATCAGTAAAACCAATCATTAAGCACATTGGCATATTAATCTTTCCAGGTAATTTCCTTTTCTAGAGAAAGTAAATTGTCAAATGTTTACAATAATTTTTAAGGTAGAAAAACTAATATGTTCTTGCTATGTTAAAGAAGTACTCTGAATGTAAGATTTAGGAGTATCATTTAAATGTTAGCTACAGGCTGGTTTCATAGATGTGTGTAGAAAAGTTTTGCTGAAGTATTTCTTTTCCTGATGTTAGTTTCTTGTTTTGCTTTTTTCTTGGCTCTCTTTGATTGTAGTGAAGTGAGGTGGATTCGGCATTGTTTTTTTTGAATAGTTAATTCTGTCTTGTGCAATTAACTAAGAAAAAGTAGTAGCCTTCTTCCAAGAAATCTTTATTACTAGAAAATTTTATTTAATTTTAAATACAAATACATTTATTTGATAGATTTTTGTTGCTATTGTTCTTATTTGGTAGTTTGTAGTTTCATGGAATTGATAATAGTTCAGCTATGCTGTTGAGCTTATGTGTATAGTGTTCTTTTATCCTTTAATTTTTGTAGGTTCTGTAGTGAATCTTTTCTTTCCTGACACTGATAAGTTGTGTGTTATTTTTTTTCTTACTCTTGTCATATATTTTACAAGTATATGTTATAAAACATGGTGCATTGCTATTTAGCTCTGGTGTCATAGTAATAAAGACTTGCTCTGTCAATCCCAAGGCATTATGGTTCATATCTATCATGGGAAAAAAGATGGACACACTCTTCAGGCTTACAGCTTCTGAAAACTTGTTGGAGGGTTTTCTGTGAATCAGTTACAACACATTGTTGCTTAACAACAACAACAATAACAACAACAACAACATTATTTTTGTTTTTTATCTTCTAGATAGCATCTTCTAGAGCAACTAGAAGTTAACATTTATATCACCTTCATTTTTACCATTTCTATCACTCGTTGTATGCAGATTATTGTTTCTGTCTAGGGTCATATTCCTTTATCTGAAAACCTTCCTTTGATGTATCTCATGCTGCTGATCGACTGGTATTAATTCTCTCAGATGTTGCTTATTTAAAATATCTTTATTTTTCATTTTTAAGAAATGTATTTTGGTGAATACAGAATTTTGAGTTGACAGTTTTTCTTTTATCAGTGCGAAGAAATTATTGTCTCTGGTTTCCATATATTCTATAGTAATTTCTGTCTTGTTTCTGTATATTCAATGTTTTTCTGTGCATATAGTTGTTTTTCTTTGATCACTTTGTTCTTAATTTATTCTGCTAAGATTAGTAGCAGACCAGTTAAAGGAAGTACAGAATCAACAGGGTCCCAAATGTTGGATTTGCTTTGTAACACCATGATTTCCTACATCAAAGTCTCTCTTTTGTTCAGTTCCTTCACTCCTTTATGTCACAGTGGTTCACTGGGAGGTCTCTGAGAAACTCACACCCATCAGGGGAGTGACTCACATGACTGTAGACATGCAGTCCAGTTTTGCAGAGACTGGTGAGCAGTGTAGACCATCAGTTGCAGTGCTGCTGGAGAGTGGGTGTCCCCAAAAGAGAGAGCTAGCATTTAGCACTCATAAGCGTATATAAGCCTCTGATGGGGGGAGGAAGCTTGTCTCACACCCTAATCCAATCTCCTTAATACTTCAGTAAATACTTCAGCACAAAATAAAAAGATAATCAATAGCTAAGAAATAACATTATGAACAATAAAACTTTTTGACACCACAGACCATCCCCTGGCTTTTCTAACCACTAACCTTCATATTTGAAGAATTAATATTTCCCTTATAATAAGAACTATATTCATGAAAGCATACAAACCAGCAGCTTCATGATTTAATCTCCCCCATTTTAGATAGCCAGTTTCTGATTTTCCCATTCCCATCAAACCAGTACTCTGAAGAAATAAGCATGTTCCTTTCTCTTAAGAATCTTCTGTTCCGGTTAGAACAGTTAACATCTGCATCAATAAGCCAAGTCCTTAGTTAAGAGCAAGCCATCAGGTTGCAGCAATAGACACTAGCTCACAGCATGAATCATCTTCATCTGCTGAGGTTCTGGTCAATTCGTCTCCAGCCATCAGTGGCTAGGTCTGTGTAAGTGTATCACCTGCAAACCCAGGTGTCCATACTTCTTCCTGTGTTCCAGACCACCTGGTCTCTTCACCTAGTTTTAGCCCTCGCATGGGGCCACGTCAACAAGATGGGGGTCCTCATGAATTCCTGGCTCCTTAATCTCTTTGAGGCTTATCCATACATCTGCATATACAGATCAGTAATTCTGACGGAACTTGCCTGCCCTCAGCCTGTCTGTTCATTGCTGCATGCCTCCAAGTGTAAAGCTCTTCAAGCAATAGGCCAAAATGAATCCATTTGTATCTTAAACCATTTTCATCTTAACAATTTAATCTTAAAACATTTTATCTTAAACCATTAAGTGTATCTTGGCTTTGCTTTTCTGGTCTCTGATGTTTAGCCGAAAAAAATAACTCCCTTGCGCTGAATCTCTCTCAGGGAATTAATATAATGTTAGATTTCCCTCACAGAATGACCATTCAGTCCTTTACCCCTTTTTCTCCTTCCTCTCATTTGCCACTTATTTTCACCCAGACGTTTCTACCTTAGGAAGAGACATCAGCTTCATCCACTGATGCCAGTTGAAATTGCAGAGAGCAAGACCAGTCTGACAGGTGCTTCTGCTTTAGTCCATTCCCATTCATGTTGAGTAGGGTTACATAGGTACAACAGCAGTGGACTCTCTCAGCCACTAGACCAGACAGTAGTAGTCACCATTAACTCTACTTTTATAAGATGGAGTGAAGGTACAGTCTAACCCATCAGACCCTTTGGATTTCGTGATACAAATTTAAGGATTATTGAACCATTCCTATTTCTTGTACATGTAATGCTTCCCTGGATCTTGGATTGCAACATCAGGCAAGAAAAAAACAATTTCAAGTCATGTGGGGTAGAACTGTATATTAGCACCAGCATTTTCCCCTTCTCCCTCTGCTATAGATAACTCTGAGAAACATTCTTCTGGGTCACTGCCTACCACGTGACCTGAGGCCATATGTGCATATATGGGCAAAATGGCCTGGTAGAGGAGAATAAACCTTCTTGGGGCTTCTGGACATGGTAGCCCAATGTATTGTAATCCTCAAACTTATTTATAAATTCTTGAAGGTTCCTAAAATGGTATTAAAAGGATATGGAAATGCAGTTATTAATGGGACTAAAGGGTAAATCTAGATGAGAATTAAAAAATGTAAACAGATGATATATGAAGTAGTTGCCTCTCTTTATCTAAATGTATTATTGGCATCATGGATATTATGATAATATGTCTAATTGGGAGCACTCTTTCTACCAGATATTATAAAACTCAGGGCATGTAAGTCAAGCAAGTGTTGACTGGACATGGAACTGTTAGAATTGCTTAAGCCCACTCAGGTTATTAATTTAAAGAAATGTAGGATACTAAGTGGACAAAAAAAAGAAATAATCAAAGACATGCTAAAGGCTATGATGTTGGCCCTGATAAATTTTCTGTATAATAACCCTATATGACCTGAAACAAAGGCACGTGGCTGGCTCATGAAGTTAACTGTAGATTGCTGAGTCCTAAATAAAGTAGTACCACTTACGGATTCAACAGTCTCAGATATGGTATCACTGGTGCAGATGATAAAGCAGACCAGAAAGACTGGAACAAAGTGATAGATCTTGCAAATGCGCTTTTTTTTTTTAAAATCTCCATTCCAGTCTCAGAAAAGAGTCAGCCAGTTTGCTTTTGCATGAAAAGGATCTCAGCTTACCTTTACAGTCTTACCACTAGATTATTTTTAATGCCATAGTCTAGTGCTGCAGCCTGGTTAGAAGAGACTTGAACTTGGTCCACATATCCAGTGTTAATTATATATTACAATGATGCTATTTGTTACTATCAAACACTGAAGAACAGACTACGATGATTTGAAAACTGGGCGTGTCCACATGATCTACAGTGATAGGTTGACAAATCTACCAAAAATCTAGGGCTCTGCCCAAATAGTAAAATTCTTGGGAACAACCTAGGCAGGAGCCACCCTGTGATATTCCACAGGCAACCAAAACAAGCTGCTGTCACTACCTACTCCCAAGACCATAAAGGAGGCCTAAAGTTTGATTAGTCTACTTGGATTTGTAGTTCTCACTTCTGACACCAACTGCATTCATAATTTTTTCTGCCAAGATTAGTAGCAGACCAGTTATAAGAAGTACACAGTTAACAATATCCCAGATGTTGGATTTGCTGTGTAATTCCATGACTTCTGACATCAACAGTCCCTCCTTTGTTCTGTTCCCTCACTCTTCTATGTCCCTTGGGTTTATCAGTTTACTGGAAGGTCTCATGAGAGACTCAGACCCATCAGGGGAATGGCTCACATGATTGTAGGTATGCAGGCCAGTTTTACAGAGACTGGTAGCATTGTAGACTGTCAGTGGTCGTACAGCTAGAGAGCAGGAATCTCAAAAAGAGAGAGCTAGCATTTAGCTCTCATGGCTTATATAAGCCTTTAGTAGAGTGGGCTTATATCCAGTCCTAATCCTATCCCTTAATGCAATAAATACTTCAGCACAAAATAAATAATTAATGGCTAGAAAAAGTAATTTTGAATAATAAACCTTTGACAACCCAGTAATTTTAAGGGTTTATACCTTCAGTTGGTAATAGTATGAATATGATGTGTCTAATTTAAAAAACCTATCTTCTAGGTCCCAAATTATTTGGAACATGTTTTTCCAGAGCTTACTTTTTACTTATATTTTATTACTGGAAAAGAAATTAATGTCAGTTGTTTCCCTGAGGTTGATAAATACACCTTGTTAATTTCCAAGAAAATTTTATCAGATACTTAAGTTTAAATATCTGTGTTTTTTCTTTAAAATAAAAATTATATTCCATGGGAAAAGGGTAAAGTCATCTTCAGAACTTCATCACTCATATGCCAAAGAAGTGCTTTATTCATACTTCCTATTTCATTACACAAAATAAAAAGACAGACTCAAAGAGATTGGGATTTAATCAAGTTAGTTTTACTGCTTACATACAGTGATAAAATGATTAATACCAGTATTACTTGCCTTCATTCATGCTGTTATGTGCCATCAAGTATGACGCATAGCAAACCTGTGTACAATAGTTCTGAACCCTGCCCTATCCTTGAGCTAGTCTCACTGATTCCAGCACACCTAATTCCATTGCCCTAGTTACCGTGTCACTGCATCTTCTCCGGAGTTTTCTCCTTCACTTTCCCTCCACCCTTTTAAAAGTGATATCCTTCTCCAAAAACTGGTCCCTCATGGCCATGTGGCTAAAGTATGTGAAACAGAGTTTCAGAATCCTTGCCTCCAGGGAGAAACTTGGTTTCACACTCTCTAAGACAGACTTATTTGTTCTGGCGGTCCATGGTTCAATACTCTTCTCCAGCACTCCAACTCAAAAGCATCAATTCTTCTTCTGTTATCTTTGGTCATTGTCCAGTTCTCTGATGCATAGCAAGTAACTGCGAAGACCATGGCCTAGACCGTGGCACACCTTAATCTCTAGACTAACATCATTGCTCTTTGGCCCTTTGAAGAGGTCTCTTACAGCACATTTCCCCAGTTCATCTTTTGATTTCCTGACTTGCTGGTGCCAAGACTGTTGACTGTGGAGCTGAGCAAGCTGAAATTGTTAACAACCTCAATCTCTTCTCCATCCATTATGATGCTTTCAGTTGGCCCAGTGGTGAGAATCTTTGTCTTCTCGATGTTAAATTTCAAGTCATAATGATGACTACAGTCCTTAACCTTCTGCAGCAAATACTCCAGGTCCTTCTCAGCTTCAGCAAGCAAGGGTTTGTCATCTGCAGAACACAGGTTGTTGATGAGCCTTTCTCCAGTCCTGATGCGACACTCCTCCTCATAAAGTTCATTCTCCCAAATTATCTGTTCTGATTGAAAAGATTAAGACGGAACCTTTTCAGATTGAAAAGGTATGGAGACAGGATGCATCCCTGACCAGTCCCTTCCTAATTTTGAACTGTGCTGAGGTACCAGCATTTTTGCACCACTAGTTTTGACCTTGCATATTTCCTGAAAGTGACTGAGAACTTTCCAAGTATCTCTTAATCACCATTTGAAAATCGCTAACATGGTCTTTAAAATGAAGATTGCTCCTTAGAATTATGCATTGTACACACTTACAAAATCTTCATGAGAATTGTTTAGGCTTTCTTGTAGAGAAAAAAGATGCTGGTTATTTATGGAGGATCTCTTCTGAATCATGAGAAATCTTTTTGTTTAGTTTATAATATCCCTGAAAGAGTAACTGTCCAAATTCTAGCTGGAGGAGATGGAATAAGAGTAATTCTTCTGATTTCTGGCATTCTGTTAGTCCAGCAAGGAGAATCGCTTTATTAATTATATAACTTTTACTAAATCTTTGTTTTATCTCAATACTTGACTAGTATACTTTGCTGTGCTTGATATTCCAAGTCTAAACCTTTTCTGATTCAAATGGTTAATCTCTAACCCCTGTGATAGGAAAAAGAATAGGTAATGTGTGAGTGGGGAGACAAAATTATTTGGATTTCCTAGCATTTCTTTGCTTCATTTTTAAATTATTGTGTATTGAATATTTTACTGAGTTCACAGGTTTCTGAGGTTGTTTGGGCAAATTGACACTTAATTTCTCTACTGATGATATTTTGTGTCCCTTCATTCACATTACTAAGACTATTACTATACTCCAGCATCTTTCTGTCTTTGTTGCAGTCTTTTTGGATATTAGTCAGCTTTGATGTCTTTATTCTTTATAAATGAAAAGCTCTATTCCTTTGTCCCTATTTTAGCAGAGTTTTAGGAGGATGAGGAGATAAATATATCATTTGCCACAATCAATTTTCATGTGCCTGAGGCAATCAACAGTAGTAAGTAGGCCTAGATTTTAATCTTCATTCTACCAGTAATTGGACTACTCCATCTAATTTCTTCCTAAAGTCAGGACTTTTTTTTCTATCTAAAATACCTAGTATAGAGTTTTAACATCTTACTCATCATATGTGCCAATAATTTGTAATTGAGAGGTTGTCGTCCAACTTACTGGGATTTTATGACACCTTCCCCCCCCATACATTTGGAAAAACAAAAGATTTAATTTTTAAACATATTTTATGTCTAATTATGATACCCACATTGTAACTACTCTCATCTTGCACATCTTTGTAAGTAACTGCTTTTTTACCTCATTTGGAAACTTTATGGTATTCTAGAATCCTTACAGATTTTTAAAAAAGAACTCTGAATGTCTTGAGTAGTAAAGATAATATTATACTATATATTAAAGTCTATGAAATGGTTTTTCCTTTCTTTGGTATATTGTTTGTTGTTGTTGTTGTTAGGTGCCATCAAGTCACCTATGACTCATAGCAACCCTATGTACAACAGCCCTAAACTCTGCCCTATCCTGTGCCAATCTCACCATCTCCAACACACCTACCCCCATTACCCCAGTCACTGAATAAATCCACCTCATAGAGGGCCTTCCCCTCCTGGGCTGTCCCTCTACCCTCCCAAGCATGACGTCCCTCTCCAAGGATCGGTCCCTCCTTACAACGTGTCCAAAGTATGTCAGACAAAGCTTCAAAATCCTTGCCCCCAGGGAGCAGCTTGGCTTCACCCTTTCCAGGACAAACCTGTTTGTCTTCCTAGCAGTCCACGGTATATTCAATACTCTTCTCCAGCACCACAGCTCAAAGGCATCAATTCTCCTTCTATCATCCCTAGTCATTGTCCAGCTCTCTGATGCATAGGAAGTGATTAAAATCTCTTTTATCCAGAAGGGTTAATATAATAAAAACTGTTTTCTTGATGCTTATTTGTGAATATAAATGAAAATTGTTAATAATAATTTCAGGAAATTTCAAGACCCAGCATGGCTGAAGAAGAAAAAGAAATATCAGAACTGGAAAGGTAATATATAAGAAAAACTGAATATCTTGACGTTTATAAAAAGAATTTGAACTTAGTTATTTTACATGAAAGTAAAATTTTAACTTAAAATTAACAAAAATACACTTTAGAGCTTTAGTTTTTCAGTTTTCATTCATTAGAGTATATAAAGGGAACTCTGGTGACCTAGTTAAAAGGAGTTGCACTGCCATCCCAAAGGCAGATGGTTTGAATCCGCCAGCTGCTCCTCAGGTGAATGATGGGCAGTCTTCTCTTGTGCAGTTTATAGCCTCCGGAAAACCTACAGAAGAGTCAACTATGAGTCCATTCTGGCTTGGCAGTAATGAGTAGTTGTACCAGAGTACATGTCATTAGTTTTTAAATTTTCAAAATTTACTTGCTAGTATGCAAAATGTAACTAAATTGTAGTTGTCTATTAAATTAATTATTTACAGGATGTATCAATGAAACAATTATTACAAATGATCAGTCTCTTTGGTTATTTCCATGTAAATTTAGAAAGCAAACTGATTTTCCATTCAACTATTTATGTACATTCCATTTTTTTACATTAGTTGCAATATCCATAACATAATCACATTATTCCTGCTTCTACCCTGTGAATCCTGTTTCCATTACTCATTCTTTCCTACCTCTTCCTACACTGAAAGTTCTATCCCTGGGCAGATGTTAATTTCTGATCTTACATGGTTGATCTTTCTAAGGAGTGAATGCCTCCATGGCTTTAAGGTTCATGTTCACCATATACACCTGTGTAATATTTGGCTGCATTTAAGTCTAAAGGGGATTTTTTAGGCCTGAAGTTTTATTTTAGGCTTGAAGGATAACTATAGGCCAAATGGGTAATTGTAACGTATTTAATTTTTTTTTCTCCTCATAATAACAGAACTAATTCTGACATGGTCTCTCAACTTGAATATTTTCCAACTCAAGGATTGATTTTTTAAAAAGTTGTAACAGAACATTGAGGAACACAGATATTTCATAACTCACTTTAACAAAAGAGAAACACTACTTTTATTCCAGATAATCTTGTCTTTTAAGTAATTTCTTTTTTCCTCATCTTTATAGAATTAATCTATTGCACTAAAAAAGGAAGTTCTGGATTTAGGATTTATGCATTTTCTCAGACATTACCATTAAGGTAGTCTACGGAGCATTTTTTGTTTGGAGGGGAAAACATGAAAATTCCACCAAGGAATTTAAAAAGCAATCAAGTTCCTCTATATTATTCAACTTTTTTTTTGAAAGTGTAACTAATCCAATAAAAAATATCTTAACAGAGATAAAAATGATAAATTTGAAATGAAGAAAAAATTTCAATTTTTGACTTATGACATAATTTATTATAAGATTCAAGAAAAATGAGTTAACACAGTTACTCATTTTTTCTTTTTTTATTTTTTTTACAGTTACTCATTTTTTAAAGTATTAATTCAAATAACTTTGTTTAAAAACCAGTAACGTACAGTTATAAAATATGTTGGGCAAAGCAATTCACAATAGTAACAAAAATGAGAGAAAATGTGCAGGATCTAAATGAAGAAAAGCAAAAAAATTTTTTTTTTTTTACAATTTCTGCCATGTGATTAATATTCCCTGAAAACCTGCTAGAAGATCAGCTATGAGTTGGTTCCAACTCCACAGAGCACAACAACAATAAAGAAAATGAATGCACCTGAATTAATGATGACATCAATGAAAAGCAAAAATTTATTGAAATAAACAGTGTAGTAATAACTTGAATGACAGACGATTTTCCAAATTACAGATATTTTGGCTGTTCAAGATCCTAAATGAGGTTTGATTTGGAAATGGAAAGTTAAACTTCCTATTTTTCAATTTATTAATATATATTTAATCTTTTTTTTGCTGAGTATTTAAGTTATTTCTGTAGTCATTATTTTAAACTTCTTAGTAAGCATCTTGGTGGTTCAAATATCTTTTACATTTTTTAAAAAACAGATTTGTAGAGAAGAGAAGAATGTGGTGATTTGCTCTATTAAGCAAAAAGTGCATTGTTAATCTATAATTATTCAGATTGTGTGGTACTGAGTCAAGAATAATCTAAAGACAGGTCAATAAAACAGAATAAAGAAAGTGATCTTATAAATATAAAGACTTCCTAACATATGACTATTTGATAATGTTGCTAGAGTATCTGGGCAATTCATTAGCAAAAATGAAATTACAAATTTATCAAATATAAAGTATGTAATTATTTCATTTCCTTTTAACAATATTAGAATGCTGAATCTAGCTAAGAGACTGGAGATCCTCTTAAATTTGTGTCCAGTGTTTTATGATTCAAGAGCTAGGGTCGGTTTGAATTCACTTGGTGGCCACTATAGTGGTAAGGAGTTGCACCACTGACCTAAAAGCACATGGTTTGAATCCACCAGCTGCTCTGCAGGAGAAGGATGGGTATTGTCCTCCCATGTGATTTGCAGCCTCTGAAACCTGCCAGAGGGTCAACTGTGAGTTGGTTCCACCTAGATGGCACATAACAACCATGGTGTCTGTCAACATATATTCACACAGAACACACATACACATACATAAATACATTGGTATTTTTATTAATGCGTTTTTACCGTCAGCCATGTGTCTGTGCACTGTACTGCAAATGCTTATCTAGCTGTATGTTCACATATATTTAAGGCATGCATGATTTGACTCTTGGGTTTTATTGTTAGGCTGTTAATGATCAGGGAATGTTTGTGGGAATGCTTTATGGTTTGCATAATAAATGACATTCTAAGTGTGAAAGTAATATATAAATAAAAAATATGAAAAAGAAATTCTTTCCAAATATATTACATATAGAAAGTTCTCTTAAAAATTATAAGAACACTCATATGTTTTAAACAATCAAGATATATAATGAAAAACATCATCAGGACTGAAACTGGTTAATAGTCTCCAGGAAAAAGGTTGACTTTTACGAGATGAGTCTTTGGCATTTTTTACCTCAAGTTATAGTGCTGTCATGAGAAAGGTGTAGACCTTAGGTACATATGTTTGTTTTTTGTAGGCAAATCCTTGACTACCAAGCAAGTCTACCTTTTGTTGTATTAAGATGGAATAGTAATAAGTAATTTTATTTTTTTTCCAGTAAACAAGATATTACTTCAACTGAGGAAGAAAAAAATGGATGTGATGCAAATTCATTTGAAGACTCACCAGTAACAAAAAGTGAAGAAAGTATAAAAGTTTCACCTAAGGAAAATGATACCTGTCTTGCAGACGAAGAAGCTGAAGAAACTGACTCAAAGAAAATCTTCAGTTGTGATGAAAATATTGGTGAAGAAAAGGTAGATAAGGAAGAACAGTTAGAACTTGTTTGTCAGGAAACAGAGTTGAAGATGTGCCAAAGTTCTGAAACCGTAATACCATGTGATCAGATCAAAGATGACAACTCTAGTGAAGCAAAAGTTTCTTCTAAGAATATTAAGGATTTGCGGTTGACATCAGGTGATGTTAGCATTGATCAGTTTTTGAGAAAAAGAGATGAACCTGAATCGGCCAGTTCTGATGTTAGTGAGCAAGGCAGTGTTCATTTGGAACCTTTGACTCCATCAGAGGTACTTGAGTATGAAGCCACAGAAATCTTTCAAAAAGGTAGTGGTGAATCCTCAGCCAACACTGATGAAGTGTAGAGTCTGATCAAACAGATGATGTTCCTAGAGGAAATAGTCCTAATACAAGAAAGACAACAGTAGGCCTGGCAGACAAAAAAAGAAAGGAGCTAAAATTAATTTGTTCTAAGTTTTTGTTTCGCTGTGGTAAGAATGCTCTGGAACAGTGCTAGCAGGTGAGCTCAGTGGTGAGTGTAGAGTTCAGAAATAAAAAAAATTTGAGGGAGTTCATTTATATATTTTAACTGTATGTTGAGCCTAGGTTATTAAGTCTATCAGTTCACCCATTATAGCACAATTAGTATGTCTAAGTTTAGTTTTGTCTTTTAATTAATAAGCTTTTATGAAGGTTAAACTTAAAAGTGAAAAGTCTTACTTTAGCAATTTCAAGAAAACATTGAATTAATTGAATTATAAGAGTAAATTCAGAAAGCTTTAGAAACTTCTATATGTCTGAAGTAAAATTCTTCATCAGTTATATACCCTTTTTGGTTAATTTAAAGGAGATTCAGAAAGAGACCTTTTGGGAATAATTTATCAATAGTAATATTGGATTGGCATTGTTAACAAAGGCTTTATATTGAGCATAATACTGGTACATGGAGCATGCTTAGAGTGCAGTTTTTATTTAATGAGAATTTGGGTGATCCATAAACTTAATTTGGATTTAATAATAACATTCCAGACTTGTCTAAAGCATGTAAACAGAATATTTTAATCTCTGTACCTCTATATAATTGTTAGCCTGCCAGGCTCTAAGCTTACCTTATTTAAACTTTCAGTGAAAGTGAATTATAAAAATAAAAATTTCTATTTGTGTTTTTTTGATCAGTGTAAGTTGTGCAGAAATTCCTAAACATACTCATAAATCCATTGTTGAAACTACTATATACATTATGCTTTTAACCTGGTTTTAATGCTCTTCATTGTAAGTACACCCATAAATATGATCTGGAAGCCAAACCAAAGTGTGGTATAAGGTAAAAACTGTAAAGCAGTAAACTGAAAACATGTCCTGATATAAATTCAGCCATGTTTAAGTGACTTTTAATTGTAAATAGGAATTTCAAGTGGGACCTAAAGCAGTGATGTAAATTTGATTTTGCGAGTTTAGAGTAATTTATCTATAAGATGGCTAAATTCTGGGTTTTTTTATCTTCTAGCATAATAGATATAGAAATGAATAAGGTGAATAAAATAGTTTGCTTTGAAGTACTAATAAGCTTTTATTTAAAGTTCTGCATTTTTCTTAAAATACGCTTTGAATTCTTTAATTTGTTTCATTGAATGTTAAATGTTTTAGACAGCTTTCAAAATTCTGCTGTAAATAGAGTAGATTTTGAGTAAATATTTGCAATAAAAATATGTCTCAGTAATTTGTGTTTCACATAATTACTTGAGTCAAATTACCTTTGGCGCCTTTAGAAACTGTATACTTATTCTAAGAAATGTTAAAGACAATGGTGGGGTTTTATTCTATGGTCTTTAACTGATATATGGTTTATTTCCAATTATGACTTAAAATTCAGCGAAATACTGATATTTATAGCAAATAGATTTGCCTTATAAATTCTTTTACTTCAAGCAAAATATAATTTACAGTTTTCTATCTGATAAGCAACTTAAAAAGGCTAAATAGGCAACATATATTATTGAATCAGTTTCTTCAAATTGAATGTCTTCAAATATTTATACCTTAATATTTCTTTCTTGGGCGGTGGTGGTTGTGGTTGTTGTTATTGCTGTTTACCATTGAGTCAGAACCCATAGCAGAGTCTCTGGGTTTTCAGAGGAAGTTTAAGTTCACATGGGAGGAAATTGCCCATCCTTCTCTTGCGGAGAAGCTGATGGATTCGAACCTTATGCCTTTGGGATTGCAGTGCAGCTTTGTCATCACTAGACCACCAGAACTCCCTCTTGGGTAGTAGGGGGCAAATGTTTTCCTGTTTCTTAGTCCCAAGAAAAGATATAGTTAGAGGGACCCATTAGCTAACATCTTGTTGAAACACAAATCTATAGAAGGAGTAATTTTTGGAGTAATTCTAAACCTTGCAAAAACAGGAAACAAAGTTCTCTATATAAGGACAACCCTCTGAATCTCATTCAATTTGTTGTCAAACGTATCACCTTATGCTGTAAAACCTTAGAAAACTTTGTCATGTAGTTTCTAAAAGACACCATAATCTTTTTATAAAAAAAAAATTGTAATTTTTTAAAATGTTTTACTTTTTTTCTGGTTTATTTACAAAGTTCAAACACATTATTTTTCACACTGGATCTTCCTTATTTCCTTCACCCCTTCCACCCATCAAAATGTGTGACCCTACGATTAACCACCCCCCTGTCCATCCTAAGCCCTCTGCTCCCCCACCTTTGGATCCTCGTACATATTCTACATTATGGTTTTATACAGTATTTGTCCTTATAGGACTGAATTCATTCACTTAACATAATGCTCTCCAGTCCCTCCCAAGTTAGATGTAATTTACAAAATCATTGTTCCTGCCTGCTGCATAGTATTCCATTGTACGAATGTACCATAATTTCTCACCCTCGATTTTTGGTTGGACATCTAGTCTGTGTCTATGTTCTTGTGATGGTGAATAACGCTGCTATGAACATTGGTGTACAAGTCTCCTTTTGTGCCTCAGTTCTCATTTTCTCAGTGTATGTTCCAAGCAGTGGAACAGCAGGGTCATATGGAATTTCTATGTTTAGCTTTTTGAGGAAATGTCAAACTGCCTTCTATAGTGGCTGTGTCACTTTACAGTCCCACCAACAATGTGTACGAGATCCTATCTCACCATATCCTCTCCAACATTTATTACTTGCTGTCCTGTTAAACTTTGCCACTGCTATTGGAGTGAGATGGTATCTTATTGTGATTTTGATTTGCATCTCTTTTACTGCCAGTGATTTTGAGCATTTCTTCATGTGTCTGTTTGTCATTCGAATATCTTACTGTGTGAAAATTCTTTCTGTGTAAAAGACACCATAATCTTTTTGAGTTCTTGGCACTTGCTTCTCCAGTCTTCTTAGAGCCTTTCAGAGTGGTGTTATTCAAAGTAGCTGATCAGTGAACTGTTTGTTACCTATCCATTATGACCAAAGGAGCTGGTACCAGGTTGTAAGTCTCTCCTTGAGAAAATTTGGCAATAGAAAAAGAAAAGGTACTTGAACTAATTAATTGTGCTTGGTTGTGTAATTGGTTTATATTCTCACACAATCTCTTATCAGCAGTCAGGATCAAATAATTTGGGTATACAATTCAAATATTTTATAGCAGTGCTTTTAAATTTTAAGTAGTAACTACTGTGAGCGATGTGTTGTTGTTTTTGTGTGCCAAGGAGTTAGAACCAACAATTAGCCAACCCTCCAGCTTTAAGTTATACAGGTGGAGATTGCCGATCATTTCAAACAGATGAGCTGGTGGATTTGAACCACGTGCCCTAAACAGTTACTTAACTTTGCTTTAGAGTGTGGAAGCAAGCACAAACAATAAGTGATTGAATATAAATTTTTTTTATGATAAAAAAAATTCATTATTTAAAAAAAGAGGTCGTTGGCTAGATTGGTCTGCGGACTTTGGTCTGCCTTCTCTACTTTAGAATGCTTAGCCCATATTGATTATGGATATGAAAGCTAGTGAGATAGAGACATCTTAACATTGTTTACAATTTTTTTTTGTAGCCTCTGTTACTTATGTCATTGTTTAACTTCACTACTGATGTTCTGGCTGTTAATGTTCCATTACAATTGTTAACTCTAAAACCAGTTACTTGTACTCAGTTCAAGAGAAAAAGGAATTCTACATGTAAGCACTAAAAAAGGATGACATGTGTTTCATTTTTACTAGATTAACATTGAAAAGTCAAGAGTCCTTGTCATGGAGTCAAAACCAATTCACAGCTAACTCTCCATAGGGTTTTCAGAGGCTGTAAATCACACAAGAGATTAGTCATCTTCTCCCTCAGAGCAGCTGGGGGATTCAAACTGCCTGTTTCTGAGTTGTCAGCACAATTTTCTGCCCACTAAGCAATCAGAACTCCGAATTTATCATTAAGACTTGTTTATTCTCTAGAACAAAAACACTAATTTACCCCTTTCTAAGAATAAGAGAAGCATTTTTCTTTTCTTTTTTGATTGAAACACATCTGGAGATGCATGCAGACAAAGTGAATATAGTCAGGTAGATTTTCAACAGTCATGGCCATACTGAATTTTAATTGAAAATTTTCAAATTAAGAGTTATTTCACTCAGATCATTGTGAAGTATTAAATACATCTGTACAGCAACCATAGCATCATCAAAGAGCTATCATGGGTGAAATTACTTCTACAGTTAGCTAAAGCTACCTTTTCATTATTTGTTAAAAGTGTACTGTACAATCAGCTTCATTGTCTAAAAGAATATACTAACCATAATTTCATCTTCACTGATAATACGGTATATCATCATTTTAAATATTATTTGGCCAAGCTATAAATGCAGTTGTAGCTGTAGATAACAGTGACCTGAATGATTGCTAAGTACTATTCATAGGTGTTACCTTGAAACTTAGTTTTCCTGAAAATGCGTCAGGGACAATCAGGTATCATTTGACTTTTGTAAAAAAAAGAACCAAAAAACCTGGCTGCATTATTAGTATTCACCTCATCCTCTTTTTAAAATTAATTGATCTTCCTAAATTTTAAAATAATACATGCCTTTTCTGGAAAATTTTAAGACTAAAAAGGGTAATTACTCATAATTCCATCATCAGAGAAAATTATCACATTGGCACTCTTTACTAATCCTTTTTCAATAATTACATATCCTAAAATTTTGCATTCCTTAGCCCTTTGCTTCTAAAGCACTTCTAATAGTTTGGCTTTTTAAAATAGTTTTAAGTTGGAGAAGGAGAAGTGGAAGCAGCTGCAAGTGCAACGGCAGGATGAACGCAGATGCAGACCCCGTGGTCAATCTCTCCGCTGCGCGGACCGCCATCGGCTCCTTCAATGGTTCCTTATCTTCTGTTCCTGTCCATAATCTAGCCGGAGCTGTCATCGTAGAAGTCCTGAAGAGGGCCAGTGTGGCTCCAGCTGATGTGTCAGAGGTCATATTTGGACATATTTTAACAGCAGGTTGTGGGCAGAATCCGATACAACAGGCCAGTGTAATGGCTGGAATCCC